TGTCGCATAGTGTATTCAAAGTGCTGACTTCACTGTTGTCTAAAGGTTTTCAAAAGCTTAACTTGTCATCCCAGTAGGTTTACTTTTCGGGTCACATGAAAACGGGTTTTGTAATCCAGCTGTAGACATCCTCAGAGTCAATTTTAGGAAAATATTCGACAATGGTTTTTTCTAGACCTTCCAAGTTAACGCTGGTAATGCGCGTTAACACTAAGAAAATAACTTTTATCAATTTTCTTATCGTTAACTTCGAAGTTACACACGTTTTTCTGATTTACTTTGTTTATTTATGGAGTTTTCATCCAAATTGCTAGACATTCTAAAATATACATGTCACCAATAAAATAAATTTCGGCGTGCTAGAAAAAACCAAAGATGTATTTTAATTTCGCAGGCCTCTGTTATCTTCGCAACGTAATCCAAAACGGGTTTTAAATCTAGTGGCGGCAACTTCCTAGTCGCCAGCGTTTTCTGCCTCTTGCTTTATCCTAGACATCGCTCCTGCTCCGTCACTGCAAATATCCGCACACTTGCTCCATTTCAAACTATTTTTCTGTACAAATTTGTCGATAGCTTTAAAAATTTCGTCGCTAGTGGTGTAAGTCTCAAGTACTTCGCTCATTAAAAGTTCTTCTTCGATTTGCATTGCGAATGGGTTCCTCACTAACACGAGAAGAACATTTAGTCCCACTCTGTCGGTACTTTCGTCAAGTTGCAAACTAAATAATTCACAAGTTTTCAAACTTTTTATAAGTTCGTTCTCGACTGCCTCTAAAATCGTGTTGATTCGCTCTTTCACAGTATGATTGTGAAGTTCCAAAGAATAAGTAACATATACACGTGCGTGAAGCTGCTGCGCTTGTTACGAAAACAGCCCAGCCAACAAAAAATCCGAAAATGAATCCGAAAACGGGAAGAAAAGTGGATGAAACGCGGATTAGGTCTACAAAAGTACCGAAAACGGTTGTGAAAAGAGTACATTTTTGGCTATTTTTCTGAAAATTTTCTAATTCAATTTTTCGTTGACAAAACGTATTGGGGAAATATCCCTTTGCTGCAAGCCATTTGTGTTGTGTATGGGAACTTTAAAGAATTTGCCCGCACCACTAGTATACCCTAGCCACTAACGGCACCCCAGGGATACGCGGCACCCACTTTAGGAAAGCCTTAGGGCAGGCAATCCCCATCAAGTTGTAACATGTGGAAAAAAGAGTTTGTGAATGTCATACTCATTTGACAGCAATTGGACCACCATACGCTGATTATCGAAAAAGCATCAACCATAAGTCAGCCAATTTCATGACACCTACCATTGGAAACGAGCTACCGAACAATAGTTAATCGAGATTGTTTGGACCGGAAAATAAACGTCAAGCAAATCAACAGCCTTCATTGAATCCATTCGTAATGAAGATTCGTACAGGTACTCTACGACGATTCTATCCTGTCGGAACAAAATTTAGAATCGCTGAATCTTAAAAATAATGCAAAAAAGCTGCATTATTGTTAATAATAAATATTTTATGTACTCCAAATTTGTTATAGTTTGATATAATTTCATATATTTGTGTAAATGTAGACATAAACTACAAATGGCATACATACATATGTACATACACTTTTTTCAGTTTTAGTTCAGAAAGTTGCAATTTAAATTCAGAAAGTTACAATTGATGTTCAAAATTTCCATTTCAAATTCAGAATTTCCATTTCAAATTCAGAAAATTACAATTCAAAATCAGAATTTCCAGTTCCAATTCAGAAAGTTACAATTCAAATGCAGAATTTCCAGTTCAAATTCAGAAACTTACAATTCCAATTCAGAATTTCAATTTTAAATTCAGAAAGTTGTAATTTAAATTCAGAAAGTTACAATTCATATTCAGAATTTCCATTTCAAATTCAGAAAATTACAATTCAAAATCAGAATTTCCAGTTCCAATTCAGAAAGTTACAATTCAAATGCAGAATTTCCAGTTCAAATTCAGAAACTTACAATTCCAATTCAGAATTTCAATTTTAAATTCAGAAAGTTGTAATTTAAATTCAGAAAGTTACAATTCATATTCAGAATTTCCATTTCAAATTCAGAAAGTTACAATTCCAATTCAGAATTTCAATTTTAAATTCAGAAAGTTGTAATTTAAATTCAGAAAGTTACAATTCATATTCAGAATTTCCATTTCAAATTCAGAAAGTTACAATTCCAATTCAGAATTTCAATTTTAAATTCAGAAAGTTGTAATTTAAATTCAGAAAGTTACAATTCATATTCAGAATTTCCATTTCAAATTCAGAAAGTTACAATTCCAATTCAGAATTTCAATTTTAAATTCAGAAAGTTGTAATTTAAATTCAGAAAGTTACAATTCATATTCAGAATTTCCATTTCAAATTCAGAAAGTTACAATTAATGTTCAGAAATTTCCAATTCCCCATCGAACAATGCATACGAAATTTTCTGAACTTAAAATAAACACATTAAAGAATTGGTCCAAGTTTAGCACTCAGTTCTTCAGTTTATTTTCATATAGTGAAAAAGGTAACAATACAATTGTAATACATATAGCATAAACAAACAAACAACAATAAGATAATGTTTTGTTTGGCAATTATGTAGGTAGGTTGGACAAAGTTTTTATTTGTTTTTATAGGCTTCGTGGATGTAATATTTGCAAGTGCAAGTAAACAAGCTTTGTAGTACAGAAAATGATGATCAATATATGATAATTGAAGCACGATAAAGCTAAAAGTAAGGCTAATAAGGATGCGTTAATTTAAACAGAAAAGAAATACTATCAGGCCGATTCTGAACAGGAACTCCCTCGGAGTTTTCTCTCTTTTCCCTTTCCTCCCATCATGAATAAAAATTCCTGTTGGATTTTTTATATTAAATGGCGGAGTTGAGCTGTCAAAAAAGTATCAAACAGCTCTTGCGAAGTTTGGATTTTCCCCTTCCAAATTTTCGGGGAAAATGCTACTTTCTGGGAGTTAATTATTGGAGGATTTCCTTCTCGGGAGAAACAAATTCCCGGAGAACAAACTCCTTGGGAGTATTCAGAATTGGGCTGTAGGTCTCTTTTAATTTATGCTGAACTGAATATTTCTATTATTGTTTTATATTTTGCTTTTTTCCCCCGGGTGCTCTAAAAAAAACATAAATTGAAAACTTTGTGACACAGTCGCTTCTACTATGCAACCTAAGTTCTTTATATCGCACAATGAATATCAATTTTCTGAACTTAAATTGGAAATTTCTGAATTTGAATTGTAACTTTCTGAATTTGAAATGGAAATTCTGAATATGAATTGTAACTTTCGGAATTTGAACTGCAACTTTCTGAATTTAAAATGGAAATTCTGAATTGGAATTGTAACTTTCTGAATTTGAACTGGAAATTCTGAATTTGAATTGTAATATACTGAATTTGAAATGGAAATTCTGATTTTGAATTGTAATTTTCTGAATATGAAATGGAAATTCTGAATTTGAAATGGTATTTCTGAACTTGAACAGTAACTATCAGAATTTAAAATGGAATTTCTGAATATGAATTGCAACTCTCTGAACTAAAACTGAAAAAGGTGTAGACGATGTTTAATAAATTCATATTTCTTTATGAAGCGAGGAAATATTAGTTTAAAAACAATTTATTAGGGACGATCCCTAATTACTTTAATATAAAAAAATTAACTTAAATAATAAATAAATGTTTTTCCTTTCAAAAGCATAAAATCTAAAGTTAAAATAATAATAATACCTACAAGTTTTATTCCCACGACAGCCGGTTCTACGTACCGGAATGAGTCGGGTTTTATCCGACCAAGGGCTGTTGTTTCGGCGATCTAACCCGGTTTATATCGGCAAAATCCCGAAAAAATTTTACGTCCATAGGGCTACATCTTCTTCGCATACTTCTGCTCAGGGCTGGCATTGAGTCAAACCCTGGACCAGAAACCTACACCTCCTGCGTGTGCCAGAAACGACTACACCACACTCCATCTCCGATAGTAGCAATACATGTAATGGGTGTAGCCACCTCCGAGTGTGCTCAAATCGAGCTGCCTCCACGCACACCAGAGTCCATCTGAGTACTCGACACAAATGTAACCGCATCACAACACAATACAAGAGACAACAAATACACAACAGCCAACACCAACGACACAACCGCACCACCACCCACACGCCGCCACCAACAACTCCTAGTTCCGCCGACAATCTGCACGTTGTATCAGTTCAGGATATTCCGTAACGTGACATAAGTCAAGTGCAACACTTGCCATGGCTGGTGTCACTTTAGGGCATGTTCAAGACTGCCCACCACGCGAGATTGGACAAGGGACTATGAGGGTGCCACTCAGTCTGAAGTACCACCTCCGACGTCGCCCACTACCACGACTAGGCAATAGCCTTTACAGCAGCACGCACAGCATGTGGTGGGCCGGAGAAACACCTCATTAACACCACACATTCCAATAAGTCTCCCTAGGCACACGAAGATTTTACAATTTAACTGTAACGGACTTCAGAGCAAGATCTAGGAGATAACAGTCTTCATGGTTCGGCACGGAAGATTAATAGCTGTGGTCCAAGAGACGAAACTGCATGGCAATTAAACATTGAATTGCGCCGGATACGACGAGCACCGTCGCGATCGAGATAATGGTGGTGGCCTAGCGGTCATCACGCACCACACCGTGCAGTATTGTCTTACCGAAGCAGGCATCGACCGCAAGGATACCATTCTAGAATGTCAGGGTATTGCTATCTGGTCAGGCGATGTCGAGCTCGAAATATATTAAGGTTTATATACCCCTTGTCACCAGCTGCCCGGCAGGATATCACCCTGAAATAGGTGCGCTCCTCAGAGGTGAAAACAGTATGGTAGTTGGTGACTTCAATGTGCACCACGATCTTTGGCTTTCAAGCCTGTCGAATGATNAGAGACAACAAATACACAACAGCCAACACCAACGACACAACCGCACCACCACCCACACGCCGCCACCAACAACTCCTAGTTCCGCCGACAATCTGCACGGTGTATCAGTTCAGGATATTCCGTAACGTGACATAAGTCAAGTGCAACACTTGCCATGGCTGGTGTCACTTTAGGGCATGTTCAAGACTGCCCACCACGCGAGATTGGACAAGGGACTATGAGGGTGCCACTCAGTCTCAAGTACCACCTCCGACGTCGCCCACTACCACGACTAGGCAATAGCCTTTACAGCAGCACGCACAGCATGTGGTGGGCCGGAGAAACACCTCATTAACACCACACATTCCAATAAGTCTCCCTAGGCACACGAAGATTTTACAATTTAACTGTAACGGACTTCAGAGCAAGATCTAGGAGATAACAGTCTTCATGGTTCGGCACGGAAGATTAATAGCTGTGGTCCAAGAGACGAAACTGCATGGCAATTAAACATTGAATTGCGCCGGATACGACGAGCACCGTCGCGATCGAGATAATGGTGGTGGCCTAGCGGTCATCACGCACCACACCGTGCAGTATTGTCTTACCGAAGCAGGCATCGACCGCAAGGATACCATTCTAGAATGTCAGGGTATTGCTATCTGGTCAGGCGATGTCGAGCTCGAAATATATTAAGGTTTATATACCCCTTGTCACCAGCTGCCCGGCAGGATATCACCCTGAAATAGGTGCGCTCCTCAGAGGTGAAAACAGTATGGTAGTTGGTGACTTCAATGTGCACCACGATCTTTGGCTTTCAAGCCTGTCGAATGATCGCATGATAAAAAAATAGGAAGGTAGAACCGCTGAGAGGAATTTTTCAAATTCTTGACGTTTTCAAACAATTTAATTTTGAAATTTTACAAACAAACTCACACACACATTCTCATTTTCAATCTCAAACAACAACAACTTCGAACAATTCCTTTTTTTTACTCTCAATTTTATATAATTTTAAAATGTTGGCAAAAAAAAATCATGGCCGACGAATTGAGAGAACGGTTTTACCTTACTATGTTTTTATCATGGAATGATCGTGGGGGAACACATTTGGCTGAGCAGATAGACGGTTCGACATTCTGCACAATGCGCGACGACGCACCCACCAGGATTATGGCCGCCTTCACTGCACTATCCACACCAACCGACGTTCGCGTAGGTGAGCGTAAATTCCGCAGGGTTGTCACTGCTGCTGTAGCCCGCTTCGTTCCAGCAGGATGCATTTCAGACCCCGACCAAATTTTCCTACTGAAGCGGCTGTCCTAGCAGATGAGCGTGACAACCTTCGTCAGGCCGATCCCGGAAATCCCCGTTTTAGGGATCTTAACCCGGAGATTCGGACACTTGTGAATGTACATAAATGGAAGAAGTAGGAAGAGCATCTGAAGACCTGCAACTTCGCCTCTGGTGTGAGTAAGCTTTGATCAACCCTGAGGTCATTGCCCAACCCAAAGAAGCGTGACGACACAGTTGGAATAAATTTTGGAACACGCTTCGTCGGACCCGGAGCGATACGCGAGCACAGCACAACAACAGCACTTAACGCCATAAATACTCAGATAACCAGTGGCCTTAACGAAACCGCCCCTGTGAAAGAGCACTTCTAGCAGCTACTAGAAGACATAGAGGCCTCCTCTCTCCCACAGGGACTCAAAAGGTGGTCTGCGATTTATCTGCGTGGTCGTCACTAGTCAGTAACCTTTAGAGACAAATCAAGCAAACCTAGGAAAATAAAACAGGGGGTTCCACAGGGTGTCCTTTCCCCACTACTGTTTAACTATTACATTTCTAAGCTCCCTCAACCACCAGAGGGAGTCTCGATTGTCTCTTATGCTGACCATTGCTCGATCATGGCGTCTGGGAATGGAATTGATGACTTGTGCTCGAAAGTAAACGGTTATCTCGCCAAGCTTTCTCGCTTCTTCACTGCACGGAGCCTAACCCTCTCCCCTACCAAATCCTCAGCAACACTTTTTACCACGAAGGACGATCAGACGTACAAGGCAATTGGCCGGCCGGTTCTGAACTATGCAGCGCCTGTGTGGTCGCCGGGACTAGTAGGACGCAGTGGATAAGGCTGCAGACCTGCCGAAACACGGCATTTAAGACAGCGACAGGATGCCTTTTGATGTCGCCGCAACATCACCTGCACGACGGGGCCCAAATGCTCCCCATTAAGGAGCATAACACAATGCTCTGCAAGCAGTTTCTAGTTGAGAGCCACAGCCGTTGTCACCCAAATAGACAACTGCTTGCAGAAGAGCTCTCGCCCAAGCCCATCAGGAGGCATCTGTACGAACTGACGGACGAAGTCCAGAGGTTCATCAAACAAACAGCATTCACAGAGAGGCAGTCTCGAGTTATGTAGACTCCCGACCTACGCATGCCGTTCTGGGTACACAACCACCATACGTGGAAGAGACAGAGCTTCGTCTGCCTCGGGAGACTCGGACAACAATAGCCCAACCGCACTCTTGTTACTGCAGCAGGTTGAACTCATACCTGAGCGGAATAAATGAAGGTGCTAAACGAATGCCCGGCATGCACGTCCCATGACAGCATCTCTTCGCATGTCCACTGAACCCCACCCAACTGACGCCCCTTTCCCTATGGACAGCCCCACCGAGGCTGCACGCTTCCTGGGGCTACCGCTAGTAGAGCTTGACGACAACGATTGAGGGACTAACCGATCTGGGCGGGGTTGTTGTAGCCGCTACAGCAACAACAACCTACAGTTTTACGCCGACTCCGAACGGCGATTGCATTTTTATGAGGAGCTGTTTTTCATGGCAGAAATACACTCGGAGATTTTTTGCCTTACGAGGGGCGACCGCTGTTAAGAAAAAACCTTTTTTTGGATGATGTTGCTTTGCCCAGGGCTTGAACCCATGCCCTGCGGAGTGGCAGCGCGCACTTTTATCACTACACCACAGCGGTCACTGTTAAAAAAAACAAAATATTTAAAAAAGAGGCATTTCATGTCACCGTGGCCACCTCGTGCGCGTCCTCTAAGGATTTGGATGAAAGTTGAAGAGATTGAAGGTCTAGGTGACATGAATATACGTGCAGCATATTTTTCCGATATGACGTAGGGTTGCCTATTTACACGGGACTTAAATTTTAAGAAAACGTCATATATACCTTTCTTTAGAGTGCTGTATCTTGGAAACCTTTTAACGCAACTTAATGAAACAAAATATATTTCTTGTGTCTTATTATGGGCTTAAATTGTACATTTTTTACATTAATGTGCAACGTATAAAAAACAAAAATAAATTAAGTAAACATTCTTCTTTTTGATTTTTTTTTGGTTATAGCATTTTTAAAAATTTTTATTTTTGCATAAAAACATTCTCTATAATGTCAACTTTAAGTACCCAAATGGGCGTAATGGGCTACTTATGCGTTTGCACTTTAGATCGTCTAACGCTAGAGCAATATGATAAATAGACATTGAAATTTTATGAAATTGTATATTTTTGAAAGAGGAAAGGTGTGTAAAAAAAACAAAAACAATATGAATATGAATAAAATAAAAAAGGAAATTTTAAGAGACTAGCAGCTAGAGCAAGTCTTCAACTCCTGATGTTACAACATATTCGTACATCCAATGGAATGTCTGTAAAAAATAACTGCAACTAACTTTTCAGTGGACTTTATTTCGTCATATTCGTGCCAATTATTTTAATTCTATTTTAAGCTACTTTAAAAGATTAAATAACATCAAGTTTGGGAACTTCATATCCTTATTTAACGAATCTTTAAATCAATAAATAATTTTTTTCTTTTTAGTTCTTATTGTAATAAAAGCGTGTTGTTGGTTGTTTTTTTAACTATAGTTTTATTACTCATTAGGTTTATTTTTTACACAGCTTTCCTTTCCTTGTTTTAATAAAAGACTAACCTTGAAGCTATCATTGGAGGTCTAATATTCTTTTGCATTGAGTGTTGTTCATGTTGATGTTGTTGATGTTTCGGTTTCATTGCAAAAGAATATTAGACCTCCAATGATAGCTTCAAGGTTAGTCCTTTTATTAAAACAAGAAAAAGGAAAGGTGTGTAAAAAAATAAACCTAATGAGTAATAAAATTACAGTTTAAAAGAAAACAAATACCACGATTTTATTACACTAAGAACTAAAAAGAAAAAAAATTATTTTTTGATTTAAATATTCGTTAAATAAGGATATGAAGTTCCCTAACTTGATGTTATTTAACCTTTTAAACTAGCTTAAAGTAAGATTAAAGTAATTGGGACGTAACTAGTCATAGTCGAAATAAAGTCCACTGAAAGGTTAGTTGTAGTTATTTTTTACAGGCATCTCATTGGAAACATACAGCACCCCATTGGTAGAGGGCTTCGGGTGTACGAATTTGTTGTAACATCAGGAGTTGAAGACTTGCTCTAGCTGCTAATCTCTTAAAATTTCCTCCAATCACGTCGTAAGCAGGTTTCGCATGTGAACTTCTAACAAAGTTCAATTCTGCCATTTCCTTCAAGGGATTTTCATGATTTGAGACCTTTAGTAAAGTTAATATGATTTATTCGTATTGTTTTTGTTTTTTACACACCTTTCCTCTTTCAAAAATATACAATTTTATAAAATTTCAATGTCTATTTATCATATTGCTCTAGCGTTAGACGATCTAAAGTGCAAACGCATAAGAAGCCCATTACGCCCATTTGGGTACTTAAGGTTGACATTATAGACAATGTATTTATGTAAAAATAAAAATTTTTTAAAATGCTATAATCAAAAAAACATCAAAAAGAAAAATGTTTACTTAACTTATTTTTTTCAACAATTTTTATTGATCTTGAGGCCGTTTTTTAATGAAAACTTATTGTGGAAAAGCAACAATAATTTGAAAAAATGGTAGAAGTGATAGCTATTTCGGAAATCACCACATTTCCTCATCAGACTTCTTTCAGTATGATTCGAACCGACGATCCCACTGACTCAGCCAGTTGCCTACGCACTGTGCTAAGTTCGCCTTGTGATTTCTTCTTGCTTTTTTCCACTGTTTCATCTTTTAAGCCAACTACAATCAAG